ACGTAGACAATTAACTTCCTGGACTTCGAGAACCAGTATATCACACATTTCTAGCTAACGGGTTTCCGATCGACCCCATTACGGCACGAAATGTTGCAAAAATGCGTGTTCGCGCGGGCACGCCCGGTGCCCGTCGCCAATGATTTTCTTTACACCTACTTTGTGCGCTCAATACCGTAAGTCACCTTAAATTTTACACGAACGAAAATAAACAATTTCGGTTCAGCGGTCGTTTTTTGAAAATGACCTAGCTATACAATGATTAATTTTTCCGCCAAAAACTTAAGCTCCCTTACACGAGAACCAAATTTGTTTGGAGGCCGGGCTTGAAAACCTTAATTTGTATTTGGACGGAAAATATTCTCCTAAAATTTCAGTTTTCCAGCTTTTCTGGTTGCCGGTTTAACAATTCTCCCGTCAAAACTTCCATGGGGCCGCACGTGACCTGGGGGCATGCCTGGGGGCTGGGTTGAAATCTTTAAGTTGCTTTAAAAGGATGGTCACAACCATCCTTTTAAAACTTAAGCATTACAGCTTTCCTGGTTCCTCATATAACCGTTTCCCCCGCCCCCTTCCAGAAAAAAAAAATCACAGGGTGGTGCTTAAGAACCGTGCATGCCTGGGGGCTGCATTTGACATATTTAAGTCGCAATTAGCGGGCAATATTCTCTTAAAATTTCAGCCCCCTAGGTTTCCTGGTCCCCAATTTAGCAATTTTCCCGCTAGGAACCCTCACATAGGCCACAAGCGGAAACCACGCACAGCTGGAGGCTGAATTTGAAATCCTTGCGTATATATGGACGGGGAACATAACCACAAAATTTCAGCTTTTTAGCTTTTGTCATTCCCGAGTTAGCAATTTTCCTGCCAAAAATTCCACCCTCCGTACACGGGGCCTAAATTGCATGAGGGTTGGTACTGCGGACATTGGCAAAATTTTGGCGCCGGAGCTTGCTTAATTGTCGAGTTGAAATATGCGGACAGACGGACATACACACGCATAAACACATAAACATAGACACACACATACACACAGACAGGGTCGTCGCAGTATGCGTTTTTGCAATTCACACATAAGCAAAAACGCATAAAAGGAAAGCAAGAAATGGGACAACGTGTGAGAAAAGGAGGTTGCACGGTCGAGGAAGACGAAGGTACAAGTGGAGGAAGTGGACGCCTAAAAAACGAGAAGGAAAATGGAAAAGAAATGGTGCCGGTGGAAAAAACGGGCTCCAGTCAAGAAGGAAACGCCAGCAGAGAAGAAAGGAATGGTAGTCAATGAAGAAGGTACCAGCCAGGAATATGGTTCCAAAAACGTGAGTAGTACCAAGCAAACCCTCGCTTTCCATCAGCCAGTCTTCTGCTGCATCGTCAGTTCTGGTATTTAAGTTTGTGCAGCCAACAAAAGCAGCAGCGCAGCTTCCATCGCAGGCGACTTCTGAGGACAAGAGAGAAGTGGCAGCCAGTCCAAAAGGTATGCTGGATGACGATAAGCCCGTGCTTGTGTCTGGACCTGCGTGCCAGGAACTGGAAATTATCCGGGCCAAACGATCACTTAACAGCGATTACCAGCGCTGAGAGAGAGGAAGAGAGTGAAATAATCTGGCTATACTCCGCCGGCTAAGAAGCTCGCGAGCAAGAGCATAAAGCCCATTGGGTAGTCCAGAAGGCCGTTGATTTAACAGTGACGCGGACGGAAAATGAAGCGGGCATCATCCGG